AACTCCTGACCTCGAGCCATCCTCCCGCCTCGGCCTCCCAGAGTGCCGCGATGACAGGCGTGAGCCACCGCGCCCGGCCTATAATACCATTTTTAGGAGAACAAAATCTGTTTGCAAAATCTCTGGGAGGTGGAAAAGGACCGGAATTGGGGGGCTATAGGCTTATTACATCCGCTCTTTTTTTTAAACCTCCCAGAGGGGGCGGCTGGGAGGAGGGGGGCGCAGCCCTGGGCTTGGTTCCCTTCTCTGTGGTCAGGTACGGCCAGATGACCGCAGGCAGCTACTGCTACATCGGTCCCCAGGGCATTGTCCACGGCACGGTGGTGAGAGACGGGGCCACCGTCGGGGGAGAGGGGCTGGGGGACGTGTGGGGGATGGGCAGCCGAGCCCTGCCGCCTGTGCCCGCAGCTGACGGTGTTGAATGCCGCACGTCGCTACCTGGGCGTCGAGGACTTGGCCGGGAAGGTCTTCGTCACCTCTGGGCTCGGTGGCATGAGTGGGGCCCAGGCCAAGGCCGCCGTCATCGTGGGGTGCATCGGCGTGATAGCAGAGGTGAGCTGTCCAGAGCCCCCGTGTCCCTGCCCTGCCTCCAGGGCTGCTCGCACCGAGAGCCTCCTCCTTCCCATCTCTCGAGAGCCCACCGTGCCCTCCGCAAAGCCCTGCTCCACGCCACGGGTGGGCGCCCAGGGTGGGCATACACGCTTTCTGCCTTCCAAGTGCCCGCCGGACAGAGGTGTGTGGGGGTCGTTCTCCCTCAAGACTCCCAAATCTTTCTTTGGTGGGTGCCAAGGAGAGGAAGGGAAGTGGGGAGCGGAGGAAGAGAGAGCCCCAAGACAGTCCTTGGTGGTCCACACCCATGTGATTTACACTTCACTACGCCAACCCGCGTCGTACGCGCCTGTACCTGTTAGGAGTGCGCTGGGCTGCAGGTAACAGAAAGCCCCCCAACGCCATCTTGCACGAATACGGGTTACTCCTTGCACATAACCCACAGTGCCGGCACCGGTTCCGCAGCTCAGTGACACCGGGACCAACATCTCTAGATTCTCTTGTGCTTCCCTCGTGGACACAAAATTGCTGCCACAGCTCCAGCCATCCCACACACACACCCAAGGCAGGAAAGAAGTGAGAAGGGAAGTGTCAGCTATGACCGACTATTTTAGCGGGAAAATCATGTCTCGAAACCCCTCCTTTTTTTAATCTCCTTGGTCAGTCTCTGATGACACGGGTGTTCTTATCGACAAGGGAAGGTGGAACTAGTGGACGGCTGTGATTATTGTCTCCTGGGGCTGAATGGTGTCACCCTGAGCGAAATCTGGGTTCTGTGGATAGGGAGGAGGAAGAGGAGGAGGAACATGTAGTGTGAAGGCAGCTTGTAGGATTTGCTTTAGGAGTGGGTGGTCTCCGGGCGCGGCCCCGACATACTCAGGGCGGGTCTGTAAGCGGCAGCTGGGTGACCCGGGTCTCACGGTCGCAGGTGGATAGAGCCGCCCTGGAGAAGCGCCGCAGGCAAGGCTGGCTGATGGAAGTGACCGACAGCTTGGACCGCTGCATCGAGAGACTCAGGTGCGGCCGCGGGGGGCTCCGACCCCCGACCCACGGGCCCGGGAGCGGGAGGCCGCGAGGGGCCCGGTCACTGCCTGACACGTGGCCACACCCCGGGCCCACCCGGGTCCCGCGGCAGAAACGCCCCGGAAGGTGTTTTGACGTTCTGCCGCTCGGCGGCGGTGAGAGCAGAACGTAGACACATACATACACGTAAACACATACGTGAACATATATACATGTAAACACACACGTAAACACATACACACGTAAACACACACAAACATACACACGGAAACACACACATAAACACATACACACGTAAACATATACACACGTAAACACACACAAACACACACGGAAACACACACGTAAGCACATACACACGTAAGCACACACGTGAACACACACATACACGTAAACACACCCGTAAACATATATACATATAAACACATACATACACATAAACACATGTAAACACATACACGTAAACACACACAAACATATACATACATAAACACACACGTAAACATACACGTGAACATATATACACATAAACACACGTAAACACATACACACGTAAACATATACACAAGTAAACACATGTAAACACATGCAAACATATACACACGTAAACACACACGTAAACACATGTAACCACATACATATACGTAAACACACACATAAACACACATAAGCACACATGTAAACACATACACACATAAACATATACACGTAAACACACATAAACACATAAACATATATACATGTAAACACACACAAACATACACACGTAAACACACACGTAAACACATACACATGAAAACACATACATACACGTAAACATACACATAAACACACAATACGCACAATATGGACATACTCTCACACACCTACACACATACTACACACATACACCTATATACACATAGACACACCTACACACAACACACATGTACAACACACACACCTGTATACAGACTCACACACACCTACAGGCAACACACACACAACACACAATACACATAAACACAACACACACAATACACATAAATGCATAAACAGCACACATATACACACATACGCACATACCCACACAACATACATACACATAATACACACAGACTCTCACACACCTTCACACCTACACACAACAGACACGTAAAACACACACATACACAACACGCACAGATACACACAGCACACACACACACACCAAGGCAGAGGCGTGACCGCCCGCTCGGCCCCTCCGGGTCCTTCGTCCCCAGAACATGCTCTGATGCTCCCGTCCCGTCCCGTTTTCCAGGTAACTCTGGCAGGGACGTTAGCGAACCCCACGACCCCAGGACCCCAGGACCCCATGACCCCACAACCCCATGACCCCAGGACCCCACGACCCCATGACCCCAAGACCCGTCGGCGACGGCCGCGCTCTCCAAATCCCCGGGGAGGGTCCCCGCTGCCGCCGCCTCCATGCTGTGCTCCGGGGGTTCGACTCTGGGTTTCCCTTCACCTTCCGTGTCCTGGACACACGACGGATCCCCAGAGGCCACCCCCACGGCCCACGCCTCACGGGCCCCGCTCTCGCGCACGATGCTCGCGGTGGCCGCGGGCGGGTGTGGAGGGGTCTTGTATTCTGCCCCGTGTCCCACCAGGGAAGCAAGGACCAGAAAGGAGGTGCTCAGCCTTGGTTACCACGGCAACGTGGTGGCGCTTTGGTGAGTGCGGCGTGGGAGGTGACAGCTTCGGGGTCCCCTCCCCGGGTGCTGCCAGGACGCGAAGCTCCAGGGCCCTTGGCGGGGCCCCGGCCTCACCCGAGCTCGGAGGACACCACACGGTCCCTACGTGCTGGGCGTCGGTGGGAAGTGGGTTGCGGTCTCTGTGCGGCGGGTCCCAGACTCAGACACGGGCCGCCCCCCGGCCTCTCCAGGGAGCGCCTGGTGCACGTGTTGGACACCACGGGGGAGCTCCT